GATGTAACAAAAGAACATGAAGAAATAAACAAAGTGGTTTCTATGACGGCTGTCTGTCACACAATTTCTTTATATTTTGGTGCAGCGAAACATTTCTTGCCATGTTAGTGTGCGGCGTATCCTTTGGTTAGATTTATACATCTGCGACTCTGCTGCTTTAAAATTACCTGAGTGAAAGCGGGCATCACCTGAAGCTCCTCCACCTCTAGATGAGACACTTCCCAGCTTACCTTGACCTTATCTTCAGCTTCCTGCATGTGTAGATGAAGCTGGGGAAGAGAAAATAAAGAGCTGCCCTATGACTCATCCAGTACTCATCAAATTCACAGAAAGATGAACTAAAACTGATTCTCTGGAGACGAAGCGATACACCAAACACGGAGCGGCTCAGTATGTGAGGTGGGCGTGGAGGAACGAAACCAGCGCAGTGTTTCCCGCACAATTCGATTCTATTTGTGTTGCAGCCGGTGGTGGGTGGGTGGTGTGCATACCTACGCTTTGTGCAAGGGGGCATATTATGCAAAATCCACTTTTACATTTTTTAAACATAATTTGCAGTTCTCCAGACTAAAGAGGCATAAAGGATGCTCCCTTTCTCCTCGGATCGCAGCGTCTCCCTCTATGAGCCCATCAGATCTGCAGCGGGTTATGATAAACAACCTCAATGCTTCTCTCCAACCCTCGGTAATAAATCAAATATATCTGAATGCAACCAAGTCCCCAATAAAGCTTATATTTTTCTGTCTGTCTTATCACAAATAGTACAACTCGAACAACAATGAAGCTGTGAGACAAACTCGCCCTTTTAGGATGAAAGTATCACTTTTAAGCCATTTCAAAGCGGTCTGTACATACTTATGTTCCACGACGCCACGCAACTACATGACCATACTCGGAAGTTAAAAAGAACAGCTGTTCTGGGATTTTTAATGTGCAAAACAGGTGCTCACAGGAAAAAACGCCACAGCATGTGATCAAATAGTCTTTCCTGTTCCTAACATGGTGAAATGACATGAACTACGTACATAATAAGAGACAGTCAGATGTTCACAAGTCTGAGAAAAAGAAAAAGTGCTTCCTTTCTTATCTGTTAGCGGAGGAAAGGGAAGGAGAAAACGCTGTTCCCAAAGCGCCATCATTCGATTCACAAAAACAAACAACACGACTGACCACATCTCGTACCTTTTATCTTTTGAAATTTTATTGATGCGTTAAACACAAATCACCACTCGCCAATCTGCTAATCTATATTTCTTTATTTAAATTTCAGCCCCAGATCAAAGTGGCGCTTTTCACCTATTTGTCCTTGTTCATACAGCCTACATAAAGTTAAGTAGCCTTTTATAAATGCATAACTCTTTGTTATACCTTTTACTTCAAAACATGTTCCAAGAAAAGCTTTTTAAGGAAGACGTGTTTCATCTGCTGGGTGATCGACTGAATTCTTACTGGCTGCTTTCCATCACTCATCAGACCTCTTCTGGAAAGGGGTGTGGCCTGCAGCAGTACTCTTGAATATAAACAACCTGCTACCTTATACCAGTGGCA